CAGGCATTATATAATTAAAATAAAGAAGTAAAAACAATAAGTGTGGCTTGATATTGAGTTAGAAAAAGGTTGATAAACGCTGTGAGAATGGATCTGCGGAGAGCATTTCTCCGCGATCTCAACTCGTCTACTACATACGTTCAGGGAGCTCTATAGAAGTCTATGGACATCCCCAAAAGTTTAAATTTGACGCTAAAGGCCCCCCCCTTGCGTTGGAAAGTGACGACAGGGACCCTGACATAACGTCAACATAGGCCGAGTTGGGAGTGAGAATGTGTTGGAATTACATGAGTAATCAGAGAGCCGAACCTAAGCTGACATTGTTTGATAGATATGTTTGTGTAAATTTCCATGGGGAGACTAACTTCTCTTCTAAAGCACGCCATGAAACCACAGCTTTGGGGTTAAACCAATTAATCAAAGGTCTTAATGAAAAGGACCAGAAATACAATTTAAAATGTGTTACTGCCAGCCCCCCATCAAGCCTCCTCCGTTGAGTAGTGGACATTTTGAGTCTAGGCCGCTTGTTGTTCCAAATACATTTTGAAATTGCCGTCTGTAGTTTCTGCCAATGACCATTGGGGGGCGATAAAGGAAGCATTGAACTGATCAAATTAACTCTAGGCAGTATATTCATTTTAATTATTGAAGCTCTGGCTTGTAGTGAGTTGGGCTGGCTCGACCACATATTGAGGTCCTGGAGAACCTTGTTGTACGTGTCTGTATAATTATTCTTTATAGTCTTGTTAAGGTTTGGGAATATTTCAACACCAAGATATTTGAAATGTTTTACCACAGGAATGTTTGCAGGGAGAATACCTGATTTGGCAGCGTCGTTGAGAGGCAAAAAGGCAGACTTGGGCCAATTCATCCTAAAACCTGATAGGTTGCCAAATTCCTCTATTACACTAAGCAGACGAGTTGCAGACGTTGAGGGGTTCCGCATAAAAATCAGTACATCATTCGCGTAAAGGGCAACGTGATGAAGCGAGCCTTAGATAGAAATGGGGATAATATCCTGTGATTGTCTAATAGATTGGGCCAGTGGCTCGAGCGAGATGGCGAAGAGCCCTGGACTCAAGGGGCAGCCGTGTCTGGATGACCTTGCTACAGAAAAAAGTGACGAGATAGTTTTGCCTGTTAAAATCATTGCTGAAGGGGCAGAATAAAGTACTTTGATCATATGGATGAACCCCTTACCTAATCCCATAGACTCTAGAACAGCTCATAGGTATGACCTTTCTAGCCTATCAAAAGCCTTCATAGCATCCAGAGATAATACAGCCGCTGGTGTTTTATCATCTTTACTAGCGTCAATGATGTGGCTAGGCGACCTCTTATGAAACCGGTTTGGTCACAATGAACTAGAGATGTCATAAAGTTCTGTAGGCGACGAGCCAGGACCTTCGCGTACATTTTAAAATCGGCACCAAGTAGGCTTAAAGGCCTGTAGCTGCTACAATCAGATGGATCTTTGTCCTTTTTTAGAAGTAAAGAGATAAGAGCTGTATTAACATCTCTGGAAAAATTACCCCGTTCTATTGAAAATCCAATCATGGAAAGCATCAGCAGGCCCAAAAGGTCCCAGAAGGTCAAATAGAGCTCTGGGGGGATGCCGTCCCACCCAGGCGCCTTATCCCTTTGCATTTTGAGGACCGCTGCTTTAAGTTCCTCCAAGGTAATAGCCTCAGCTTATTGTTTTTAATCATCCTCTGTTAAGCATGGTAATTCCAGCTCATTAACCTCTTAAGCACGGCGGTCCCCCCATTGGACCCCTCCCACCGTTTTTTTTTCGAGATAATGTCTCAGGGCTTCTTAACATTTATGAAACTATTAATGTGTAGCACCAGATTAACGGGAAGAATCTCAGCTAACTGAAGATATGAACCATTTTTACCAAAACAAAACACAAGTCTCATAAGAAGCGTCTAAATTACCCCTGAGCGCGGCACACAATTCAAGATAAAGATACCCTTATTACTTATCGTAGCTGCACATACAATATATCCGATTAAAGCTGAGACTCCACTGGTTATTTAGGTATAGTATCATCACTGAGCGATCCGAACTTGCGACAGGGGAAGCAAACACAGACATCACAACACGTACCTTTACGGAGCTTTTACGGCAGATCGTCTCACCGTAGCTGTCAATTAGGTCAAAAGACGTGTTCAATGGCATTAAAACGGGAAAAGAAATGCTACAACTGTTGATCCATAGGTTGATAATGGACCTGTGCCTTTGAAAAAAGTATTTATAATCCATAATTCCATTTTTTATGTAAAAATCGGAGCGGAAAAGTTAGCTGCTAATGGTAGCCACCTACAGCTTCCGGTTTTGGTAACGCGTCACTCTCACTCCTTATTTGTTAACGTTTTTGTATGTATATAACTTTCCCTCGATTCCATTGGCTCTAGCGGTTATAAAGAGATTACATTCATCAAAATCGAGCAAGGGGGGCCAGAGATAGGTCAAATCCACCCAAATGACCCCAGAAGTGGGTTTTTTTGGCTAAATCTCTCTAAAAAGGTCAAATTTCACTTGTTTTGCATCAATCTTGATACAGGGTACTTATTATATGTTGTACTTTGGATTCCTAAAGCTTTTAGTCTACTAACCCATCATCCAAGGGTAGTTTTCACTATAAGTGAAAAAATGTTTTGGACGGACACTATAATTTACAGTTTTTTACTATGTAAAATCTGAATTTTCTTTAAAATAAAAAACATCTATATTGATTCTGACACTTCTACATCCAACTCACAGATGTAACCTTGCTTTGATAAAATAAATTATTCATATAACCCTTTTAGAAGTTAGGTTGTAGTCATTTGTTTTGGGCATGTCATTTTCGAGCCTGAAACATGAAAAACAGGCTTGGTGCTTAACAGGTTAACCTAATAGTCGATTTTCCCTTTGCCTCCGGCATTCTTAGAACTTTTCAACAGATAATTTGGCGTGAAATGACTTAAATGTGTAATAATAGTGGGATGTTGTCGGGGAGCTCAAGACATTGAGCCATTTAGTTCCCGCGCTCAACCGGAAGTCCCGAGATTCACTCTTCTTAGCACAGCTAATTGTTGAGCTTTGTATAGGTCAGTAGAGGTAGTCATAATAAATTATAAGCACCGTCCGACAGTGGCGTAGCCCAGGCCCGCCCAGTTTACTCATTGGCCTGCTCTGAGAAAGCTTCGGTGTAATTCATTTTTTTAATTTAAATTTTGTATTATTATACATTTTTTTATTCACCCATTCATCCAAGCATTCAAAGTGAAATTTAAGTGAACAAATATCGAGTATAATTAATGTTGTATGTGTTTTATCCTCTGAACGGAACTAATTTCCGGTAAAACTGGTTGTTGGTTCCGGCGCGCGCCCAATTAGTAACGTGAGAGAGCTGCCTGCAAATTATGCTCTCATCTAGCAGCGATCCAGGGCCAAACTCTCTGACTCCGGAGACTATACTGTTACGGCCGCTTGCTCCACGGCGCTAGCAGTGCTCCCTCCCGCTCCCGGTCGTCCACATGAACGAGGTGTAGGCCTACCCGCTGATCTTCTTCACAGCCAAAACTGAAGAAGTTCCCCTACACTGTTAATCATGGAAAAGCAAGGTGCTTCTCATCGAGGTGGTATGAAGATTTTCCCTGGGTGGAATACAGCGCAAGTAGGGACGCGCTTTTCTGTCAAATGTGCAGACATTTCCCCAGCCCAGGAGCTGAAGGTGCATTTAGGAGGGATGGATATGTAGACTGGAAACACCTGCGTAACTCGTTGGAGAGACATTAAAAAAAGCGAGGACCACTGCAAGTCCATGAGCAGGTTTGAATGCTACAACCTATTTTTGCTGTTACCTTGTGCAATAAAAGAGTTACGTAACGATTGTAAATAACCCAATTTGTGTTCTGTGAAACTGAAAAGGATATTACATTGTTTTTGTTACTTTTGTTGCAGTTGTATGTCTTAAATGTCATTTAGGTTAACTTCCTGTGTTATTTAGATGCCTTTATTTTTGAAGGCGAGTTTACGCTGTTGACAGGAAGTTGTTGTTTCTATGGAAACAACGTGACGGAGAAAAGGAGCAGAGATTAACGGAGAAAAGTAATATCTACATATAAAGACAGAGAAAGTAAAGGATAAAGTTTATGTTTAAGTTTAGCACCCCCCGAAGAGACACAAGGTTGGTATTAACTATAATATAAACATGTGGGTTGTGTCCTAATTCGTTTGTAGGCTATGCTGTTTTGTAGCTTTGCTGTCTGTTTACAGTTAACATTTGCTAGTATGCTAAAGTGATTCTAATACAGATGGAACCTAAATGTATTTGTTATTTTTGTGTCTGTATAGCTCTTACGTTGATATTGGAGATTTCAATAAATTCATATCATCAGTCAGGTCTTCGACCATTATTTGGAGGGAAATGCTACAACGATGCTTGGCAATGGCATTATTATATATTATAATGAAGTTGTCTGAAGTCCTCACCACCAGCTGCTCTTGCAGTAACAAGTAGTGTACTTTTCTTACTGTCCTAATGTGCACAATGTAGTGACTGCTTTTTTTGACTGTCTTTTGTTTTCTTAGTTATGTTCTCTGTATTTTATATGTTTGTGTTATGTGTTATGTGTAACGTTGCTGCCTTCTTGGCCAGGTCAGCATTGAAAATGAGATTTTATCTCAATGTTTTTTATCTGGTTAAATAAAGGTTAAATAAAAAAATTAAAAAAAATTATTATTATAGGCCAGGCCTACCTTAAAGTCATTTTTTCCCCCTGGAAAAAGCTGGCCCACCCTATTTTATACAGGCCCGCCCTAAAGTAAATGTCTGCCTACGCTACTGCCGTCCATCAACCTCTAGTTAATAACTAGTCAATAGCATACGAAAGACACTTTTAGTTTATTACAGATCAAATCTGTAATGTTAATGTTTTGTGATATAGAGCATCGAAAAGCATTATGTGTGTTAATGTATGTAGTCAGAAAATGTCTATAACATTTCTTTACATTTACATTTTTTAATGTTTATTTATTTTTTTGTAAATTATTGTTACATATCAATGTTAATTAATGAACATTTTGAAACAGCAAGAAAAACTAAACAGCAGCAACAACAACGTTTTAAGTGTTTAGCATTTTCTGTATTTAAATAGTATTTAATACGGAAGTTTAATGCATTCAATTTAATACTGCAATATAACCTGAAAAAAGCACTCACTCTTTATAATCAAACAATCACTCTTGGTTCACAAAGAACAATACTGTTAAATCTTACTTTGTTCTCCAATAAATTATACATTTGTAAATATGCAAACCAACATGGTGCAAAAGCCAATTTAAGGAAAAGCATTTTCAAGACTTTGGGATGTTAACATTTCCGCACTCTGATGTTCAGAAATACCTTACCTAAAACAATATTATTATTTTTTTAGTTAGTGTATATAATGGTTTTAAAAGGGTTGAATGAGTAGTTTAATCTCACTTAAGTCATTTTTATATATATGGAAACGTCAAGCCGTCATTTTCAATGTCTTCTCTATCTGGACTGCTAGACCAGAACTGCTGGCAGCCAATGTAACAAATATTCAGGTTTCATCCTTGTATTACGGCAAAAGTAAGAAAAGTATAAATAATATATCATGCTATCTACATTTAAGTCATCATGACAGAAACACAGACGTGTCTCTCAGTGTTACTCCTGGCAGACTTGTTTGCAGCAGCAGTGGCAGCAGCATCGGTAGTAGCGCTGCAGCTGACTGAGGAGTCCACTGGAAGTCTCTGGAGCTGCCTTCTTCTCTCCTACCTTTGTCTGTTCTTTATACATTTTTGCAGAAGCTTCTCCTTTTGTTACCTGTAAGTCCTCTGTGGTTACATTGACCTTTAATGTTTGATCATTGTTGGTAGTTCTCTTTGGCCTCAACACTTTTTCTTTGTCAGAGAGTTTGACAATTTTAGTGAGCTTTTGAGCTTTAAGTTGTTGGAGCTGTGTGTGTCTTAAATCAAGCATTGTGCGGTCTATCTTCCAGTCACTTTGGGATGTCATGTCCTTACCTAGTTCTTGTTTGAGCTCCTTCTCCAATGATTCATTTTCTTGTAACCATGGTCTCCTCACAAACTGGTTGATCAACTTTAGTCTTTTCTCTAGGTTATTTCTCATTTCATGGCTCATGATCCTCATTTGATAGATCTCCTTTCGTTCCATTTTAGTGTCCTTCCAGATCTTTCGCAAACAATCCCTTTTTGATCTTTTCTTGTCTGTAAAATAATCTTGTTCTGAAGCTGATAGTTGTATATTTTTTTCATATTCTTTATCCATCACTAGAACATCATCATCCGTTTTCAAGTATTTATTTTTTATTTTAAGATCATGTTTATCTCCTTTGAACTTCTGCTGATCAATTTTTTCAGTCTGGATTGTGAAATCTGGCTGCATAACAACCTGACATTTAAAGTCTTCACGTTTATTCAAAACCTGTTTCTCAACACATGGCTCTTGCTCATGCAATTTTTGCCATGCCACCTCTGTTTGTACAGCCTTGTCAAACTTCACTGTCACAATGTTGTTTTTATCTGTTTGTATCAGATCATAATAACTAGTCATCTCCTTTCTATTTTTATCAAATTCCTTAAACTTGTGTTCCAATAGTAAGTTTAATTGGAGCATGTCAATATATGTTTGCCCTAACACCTCAATATTCTTTGTAAAGACTTCATTGCTCACTTGATTAAGGTGTTTGAGTTTTACTCTTATACCTCCTATGGAGCTCAGTAACCTGATAAGCCACTCTTCTTTTGTTTTAGTATCAGAAAGTTCTCCTTCCATCCTAATTTTTTCATTTAACAATTCCTTCTCACTCTCAATGGTTGTCTTGATTTGAGCCAGTAGTTCTTTCTTTTTGTTTATCTCATCAAACTGAATGTCTGCATGTCCTTTCAACACTTGAAGATCAGTCTTTGTGATTTCCAATGTGTCTGTTTCTTCTTTTATATCTTGTCTCTGTTGTTCCAACATGTCCCTTTGTTTCAGGATGTCCGACCTGATCACATCAAAGTCCAGTTTCTCTTTGTTCATCACCTCACTCTCTCTATCCAGGTACTCTCTTTCTTTCTTCAACTCTGCCTTCAGTTCCAGAAGATTTGTCCTTTCCAACAAGGCCTCTTGTTTCAGTTGAGTTCCCATTTCCTGTCTTTGAGTGACACTTTCTAACAACATGATCTTCAACCTTTCTCTTTCCCTCTCTAACGTCTCAGTGTAACTTGACATATGTGCTTTCTGTTTATCCAGAACATCATGCTTTTGCTCCAAAACACTCAACAGTTTCAATATGTCTTCATTGTTTTGTTCCAGTCTGATCATTTTGATTTGAATTTCTTCACTCATCCTTTCACTCAGCTGGTGAAGTTTTTCCCTCAGAATTTCCATTGATTTCCTCGTATTCAATAGTAGATCTTCTCTTGTTTTCAGGTCCGACGTTCCTCTTTCCATTCTGTCCTTTTCATTGTTGAGCATTGCTATTTCCATGTCAGTAGTACTCTGCATCTGATTGAGTATATCTCTCTCTGAACTGATGGTGTTCATGGCTGTTTCAACCTCTTCATTCTTCTTGTTGAGATCCTTCCTCAAAAGATCCAGTTCTTCTCTTTCTTCCAGCAGACTGCTCTTTCTGGTATCCAGTTCTTGTGTTTGTCTGCTGAACTGGTCCTCCATGAGTTTTTGTTCTTCTTGTTTTAAAACAATCATGCTCATGATATTCTGAAGTTTGTTTTTTTCTGTGTGAAGATGAAGGGTCAGATCTTTAATGTTGGCTTTCTCTTTGTTTATCTCATCAAACTGAATTTGTTCATGTTCTTTCAACACTTGAAGATCAGTCTTTGTGATTTCCAATTTCTCTGTTTCTTCTCTTATATCTTGTCTCTGTTGTTCCAACATGTCCCTTTGTTTCAGGATGTCCGACCTGATCACATCAAAGTCCAGTTTCTCTTTGTTCATCACCTCACTCTCTCTATCCAGGTACTCTCTTTCTTTCTTCAACTCTGCCTTCAGTTCCAGAAGATTTGTCCTTTCCAACAAGGCCTCTTGTTTCAGTTGAGTTCCCATTTCCTGTCTTTGAGTGACACTTTCTAACAACATGATCTTCAACCTTTCTCTTTCCCTCTCTAACGTCTCAGTGTAACTTGACATATGTGCTTTCTGTTTATCCAGAACATCATGCTTTTGCTCCAAAACACTCAACAGTTTCAATATGTCTTCATTGTTTTGTTCCAGTCTGATCATTTTGATTTGAATTTCTTCACTCATCCTTTCACTCAGCTGGTGAAGTTTTTCCCTCAGAATTTCCATTGATTTCCTCGTATTCAATAGTAGATCTTCTCTTGTTTTCAGGTCCGACATTACTCTTTCCATTCGGTCCTTTTCATTGTTGAGCATTGTTATTTCCATGTCAGTAGTACTCTGCATCTGATTGAGTATATCTCTCTCTGAACTGATGGTGTTCATGGCTGTTTCAACCTCTTCATTCTTCTTGTTGAGATCCTTCCTCAAAAGATCCAGTTCTTCTCTTTCTTCCAGCAGACTGCTCTTTCTGGTATCCAGTTCTTGTGTTTGTCTGCTGAACTGGTCCTCCATGAGTTTTTGTTCTTCTTGTTTTAAAACAATCATGCTCATGATATTCTGAAGTTTGTTTTTTTCTGTGTGAAGATGAAGGGTCAGATCTTTAATGTTGGCTTTCTCTTTGTTTATCTCATCCAACTGAATTCGTTCATGTTCTTTCAACACTTGAAGATCAGTCTTTGTGATTTCCAATTTCTCTGTTTCTTCTCTTATATCTTGTCTCTGTTGTTCCAACATGTCCCTTTGTTTCAGGATGTCCAACCTGATCAAATCAAAGTCCAGTTTCTCTTTGTTCATCACCTCACTCTCTCTATCCAGGTCCTCTCTTTCTTTCTTCAACTCTGCCTTCAGTTCCAGAAGATTTGTCCTTTCCAACAAGGCCTCTTGTTTCAGTTGATTTCCCATTTCCTGTCTTTGAGTGACACTTTCTAACAACATGATCTTCAACCTTTCTCTTTCCCTCTCTAACGTCTCAGTGTAACTTGACATATGTGCTTTCAGTTTATCCAGAACATCATGCTTTTGCTCCAAAACACTCAACAGTTTCAATATGTCTTCATTGTTTTGTTCCAGTCTGATCATTTTGATTTGAATTTCTTCACTCATCCTTTCACTCAGCTGGTGAAGTTTTTCCGTCAGAATTTCCATTGATTTCCTCGTATTCAATAGTAGATCTTCTCTTGTTTTCAGGTCCGACGTTCCTCTTTCCATTCGGTCCTTTTCATTCTTGAGCATTGCTATTTCCATGTCAGTAGTACTCTGCATCTGATTGAGTATATCTCTCTCTGAACTGATGGTGTTCATGGCTGTTTCAACCTCTTCATTCTTCTTGTTGAGATCCTTCCTCAAAAGATCCAGTTCTTCTCTTTCTTCCAGCAGACTGCTCTTTCTGGTATCCAGTTCTTGTGTTTGTCTGCTGAACTGGTCCTCCATGAGTTTTTGTTCTTCTTGTTTTAAAACAATCATGCTCATGATATTCTGAAGTTTGTTTTTTTCTGTGTGAAGATGAAGGGTCAGATCTTTAATGTTGGCTTTCTCTTTGTTTATCTCATCCAACTGAATTCGTTCATGTTCTTTCAACACTTGAAGATCAGTCTTTGTGATTTCCAATTTCTCTGTTTCTTCTCTTATATCTTGTCTCTGTTGTTCCAACATGTCCCTTTGTTTCAGGATGTCCGACCTGATCAAATCAAAGTCCAGTTTCTCTTTGTTCATCACCTCACTCTCTCTATCCAGGTACTCTCTTTCTTTCTTCAACGTTGCCTTCAGTTCCAGAAGATTTGTCTTTTCCAACAAGGCCTCTTGTTTCAGTTGATTTCCCATTTCCTGTCTTTGAGTGACACTTTCTAACAACATGATCTTCAACCTTTCTCTTTCCCTCTCTAACGTCTCAGTGTAACTTGACATATGTTCTTTCTGTTTATCCAGAACATCATGCTTTTGCTCCAAAACACTCAACAGTTTCAATATGTCTTCATTGTTTTGTTCCAGTCTGATCATTTTGATTTGAATTTCTTCACTCATCCTTTCACTCAGCTGGTGAAGTTTTTCCCTCAGAATTTCCATTGAGTTCCTCGTATTCAATAGTAGATCTTCTCTTGTTTTCAGGTCCGACGTTCCTCTTTCCATTCGGTCCTTTTCATTGTTGAGCATTGTTATTTCCATGTCAGTAGTACTCTGCATCTGATTGAGTATATCTCTCTCTGAACTGATGGTGTTCATGGCTGTTTCAACCTCTTCATTCTTCTTGTTGAGATCCTTCCTCAAAAGATCCAGTTCTTCTCTTTCTTCCAGCAGACTGCTCTTTCTGGTATCCAGTTCTTGTGTTTGTCTGCTGAACTGGTCCTCCATGAGTTTTTGTTCTTCTTGTTTTAAAACAATCATGCTCATGATATTCTGAAGTTTGTTTTTTTCTGTGTGAAGATGAAGGGTCAGATCTTTAATGTTGGCTTTCTCTTTGTTTATCTCATCAAACTGAATTCGTTCATGTTCTTTCAACACTTGAAGATCAGTCTTTGTGATTTCCAATTTCTCTGTTTCTTCTCTTATATCTTGTCTCTGTTGTTCCAACATGTCCCTTTGTTTCAGGATGTCCGACCTGATCACATCAAAGTCCAGTTTCTCTTTGTTCATCACCTCACTCTCTCTATCCAGGTCCTCTCTTTCTTTCTTCAACTCTGCCTTCAGTTCCAGAAGATTTGTCCTTTCCAACAAGGCCTCTTGTTTCAGTTGATTTCCCATTTCCTGTCTTTGAGTGACACTTTCTAACAACATGATCTTCAACCTTTCTCTTTCCCTCTCTAACGTCTCAGTGTAACTTGACATATGTGCTTTCAGTTTATCCAGAACATCATGCTTTTGCTCCAAAACACTCAACAGTTTCAATATGTCTTCATTGTTTTGTTCCAGTCTGATCATTTTGATTTGAATTTCTTCACTCATCCTTTCACTCAGCTGGTGAAGTTTTTCCGTCAGAATTTCCATTGATTTCCTCGTATTCAATAGTAGATCTTCTCTTGTTTTCAGGTCCGACGTTCCTCTTTCCATTCGGTCCTTTTCATTCTTGAGCATTGCTATTTCCATGTCAGTAGTACTCTGCATCTGATTGAGTATATCTCTCTCTGAACTGATGGTGTTCATGGCTGTTTCAACCTCTTCATTCTTCTTGTTGAGATCCTTCCTCAAAAGATCCAGTTCTTCTCTTTCTTCCAGCAGACTGCTCTTTCTGGTATCCAGTTCTTGTGTTTGTCTGCTGAACTGGTCCTCCATGAGTTTTTGTTCTTCTTGTTTTAAAACAATCATGCTCATGATATTCTGAAGTTTGTTTTTTTCTGTGTGAAGATGAAGGGTCAGATCTTTAATGTTGGCTTTTTCTTTGTTTATCTCATCCAACTGAATTCGTTCATGTTCTTTCAACACTTGAAGATCAGTCTTTGTGATTTCCAATTTCTCTGTTTCTTCTCTTATATCTTGTCTCTGTTGTTCCAACATGTCCCTTTGTTTCAGGATGTCCAACCTGATCAAATCAAAGTCCAGTTTCTCTTTGTTCATCACCTCACTCTCTCTATCCAGGTACTCTCTTTCTTTCTTCAACTCTGCCTTCAGTTCCAGAAGATTTGTCCTTTCCAACAAGGCCTCTTGTTTCAGTTGATTACCCATTTCCTGTCTTTGAGTGACACTTTCTAACAACATGATCTTCAACCTTTCTCTTTCCCTCTCTAACGTCTCAGTGTAACTTGACATATGTGCTTTTTGTTTATCCAGAACATCATGCTTTTGCTCCAAAACACTCAACAGTTTCAATATGTCTTCATTGTTTTGTTCCAGTCTGATCATTTTGATTTGAATTTCTTCACTCATCCTTTCACTCAGCTGGTGAAGTTTTTCCGTCAGAATTTCCATTGATTTCCTCGTATTCAATAGTAGATCTTCTCTTGTTTTCAGGTCCGACGTTCCTCTTTCCATTCGGTCCTTTTCATTCTTGAGCATTGTTATTTCCATGTCAGTAGTACTCTGCATCTGATTGAGTATATCTCTCTCTGAACTGATGGTGTTCATGGCTGTTTCAACCTCTTCATTCTTCTTGTTGAGATCCTTCCTCAAAAGATCCAGTTCTTCTCTTTCTTCCAGCAGACTGCTCTTTCTGGTATCCAGTTCTTGTGTTTGTCTGCTGAACTGGTCCTCCTTGAGTTTTTGTTCTTCTTGTTTTAAAACAATCATGCTCATGATATTCTGAAGTTTGTTTTTTTCTGTGTGAAGATGAAGGGTCAGATCTTTAATGTTGGCTTTCTCTTTGTTTATCTCATCAAACTGAATTCGTTCATGTTCTTTCAACACTTGAAGATCAGTCTTTGTGATTTCCAATTTCTCTGTTTCTTCTCTTATATCTTGTCTCTGTTGTTCCAACATGTCCCTGTGTTTCAGGATGTCCGACCTTATCAAATAAAAGTCCAGTTTCTCTTTGTTCATCACCTCACTCTCTCTATCCAGGTCCTCTCTTTCTTTCTTCAACTCTGCCTTCAGTTCCAGAAGATTTGTCCTTTCCAACAAGGCCTCTTGTTTCAGTTGATTTCCCATTTCCTGTCTTTGAGTGACACTTTCTAACAACATGATCTTCAACCTTTCTCTTTCCCTCTCTAACGTCTCAGTGTAACTTGACATATGTGCTTTCAGTTTATCCAGAACATCATGCTTTTGCTCCAAAACACTCAACAGTTTCAATATGTCTTCATTGTTTTGTTCCAGTCTGATCATTTTGATTTGAATTTCTTCACTCATCCTTTCACTCAGCTGGTGAAGTTTTTCCGTCAGAATTTCCATTGATTTCCTCGTATTCAATAGTAGATCTTCTCTTGTTTTCAGGTCCGACGTTCCTCTTTCCATTCGGTCCTTTTCATTCTTGAGCATTGCTATTTCCATGTCAGTAGTACTCTGCATCTGATTGAGTATATCTCTCTCTGAACTGATGGTGTTCATGGCTGTTTCAACCTCTTCATTCTTCTTGTTGAGATCCTTCCTCAAAAGATCCAGTTCTTCTCTTTCTTCCAGCAGACTGCTCTTTCTGGTATCCAGTTCTTGTGTTTGTCTGCTGAACTGGTCCTCCATGAGTTTTTGTTCTTCTTGTTTTAAAACAATCATGCTCATGATATTCTGAAGTTTGTTTTTTTCTGTGTGAAGATGAAGGGTCAGATCTTTAATGTTGGCTTTCTCTTTGTTTATCTCATCAAACTGAATTCGTTCATGTTCTTTCAACACTTGAAGATCAGTCTTTGTGATTTCCAATTTCTCTGTTTCTTCTCTTATATCTTGTCTCTGTTGTTCCAACATGTCCCTTTGTTTCAGGATGTCCAACCTGATCAAATCAAAGTCCAGTTTCTCTTTGTTCATCACCTCACTCTCTCTATCCAGGTACTCTCTTTCTTTCTTCAACTCTGCCTTCAGTTCCAGAAGATTTGTCCTTTCCAACAAGGCCTCTTGTTTCAGTTGATTACCCATTTCCTGTCTTTGAGTGACACTTTCTAACAACATGATCTTCAACCTTTCTCTTTCCCTCTCTAACGTCTCAGTGTAACTTGACATATGTGCTTTCTGTTTATCCAGAACATCATGCTTTTGCTCCAAAACACTCAACAGTTTCAATATGTCTTCATTGTTTTGTTCCAGTCTGATCATTTTGATTTGAATTTCTTCACTCATCCTTTCACTCAGCTGGTGAAGTTTTTCCCTCAGAATTTCCATTGATTTCCTCGTATTCAATAGTAGATCTTCTCTTGTTTTCAGGTCCGACGTTCCTCTTTCCATTCGGTCCTTTTCATTGTTGAGCATTGCTATTTCCATGTCAGTAGTACTCTGCATCTGATTGAGTATATCTCTCTCTGAACTGATGGTGTTCATGGCTGTTTCAACCTCTTCCTTCTTCTTGTTGAGATCCTTCCTCAAAAGATCCAGTTCTTCTCTTTCTTCCAGCAGACTGCTCTTTCTGGTATCCAGTTCTTGTGTTTGTCTGCTGAACTGGTCCTCCTTGAGTTTTTGTTCTTCTTGTTTTAAAACAATCATGCTCATGATATTCTCAAGTTTGTTTTTTTCTGTGTGAAGATGAAGGGTCAGATCTTTAATGTTGGCTTTCTCTTTGTTTATCTCATCAAACTGAATTCGTTCATGTTCTTTCAACACTTGAAGATCAGTCTTTGTGATTTCCAATTTCTCTGTTTCTTCTCTTATATCTTGTCTCTGTTGTTCCAACATGTCCCTGTGTTTCAGGATGTCCGACCTCATCAAATAAAAGTCCAGTTTCTCTTTGTTCATCACCTCACTCTCTCTATCCAGGTCCTCTCTTTCTTTCTTCAACTCTGCCTTCAGTTCCAGAAGATTTGTCCTTTCCAACAAGGCCTCTTGTTTCAGTTGATTTCCCATTTCCTGTCTTTGAGTGACACTTTCTAACAACATGATCTTCAACCTTTCTCTTTCCCTCTCTAACGTCTCAGTGTAACTTGACATATGTGCTTTCAGTTTATCCAGAACATCATGCTTTTGCTCCAAAACACTCAACAGTTTCAATATGTCTTCATTGTTTTGTTCCAGTCTGATCATTTTGATTTGAATTTCTTCACTCATCCTTTCACTCAGCTGGTGAAGTTTTTCCGTCAGAATTTCCATTGATTTCCTCGTATTCAATAGTAGATCTTCTCTTGTTTTCAGGTCCGACGTTCCTCTTTCCATTCGGTCCTTTTCATTCTTGAGCATTGCTATTTCCATGTCAGTAGTACTCTGCATCTGATTGAGTATATCTCTCTCTGAACTGATGGTGTTCATGGCTGTTTCAACCTCTTCATTCTTCTTGTTGAGATCCTTCCTCAAAAGATCCAGTTCTTCTCTTTCTTCCAGCAGACTGCTCTTTCTGGTATCCAGTTCTTGTGTTTGTCTGCTGAACTGGTCCTCCTTGAGTTTTTGTTCTTCTTGTTTTAAAACAGTCATGCTCATGATATTCTGAAGTTTGTTTTTTTCTGTGTGAAGATGAAGGGTCAGATCTTTAATGTTGGCTTTCTCTTTGTTTATCTCATCAAACTGAATTCGTTCATGTTCTTTCAACACTTGAAGATCAGTCTTTGTGATTTCCAATTTCTCTGTTTCTTCTCTTATATCTTGTCTCTGTTGTTCCAACATGTCCCTGTGTTTCAGGATGTCCGACCTGATCAAATCAAAGTCCAGTTTCTCTTTGTTCATCACCTCACTCTCTCTATCCAGGTCCTCTCTTTCTTTCTTCAACTCTGCCTTCAGTTCCAGAAGATTTGTCCTTTCCAACAAGGCCTCTTGTTTCAGTTGATTTCCCATTTCCTGTCTTTGAGTGACACTTTCTAACAACATGATCTTCAACCTTTCTCTTTCCCTCTCTAACGTCTCAGTGTAACTTGACATATGTGCTTTCAGTTTATCCAGAACATCATGCTTTTGCTCCAAAACACTCAACAGTTTCAATATGTCTTCATTGTTTTGTTCCAGTCTGATCATTTTGATTTGAATTTCTTCACTCATCCTTTCACTCAGCTGGTGAAGTTTTTCCGTCAGAATTTCCATTGATTTCCTCGTATTCAATAGTAGATCTTCTCTTGTTTTCAGGTCCGACGTTCCTCTTTCCATTCGGTCCTTTTCATTCTTGAGCATTGTTATTTCCATGTCAGTAGTACTCTGCATCTGATTGAGTATATCTCTCTCTGAACTGATGGTGTTCATGGCTGTTTCAACCTCTTCATTCTTCTTGTTGAGATCCTTCCTCAAAAGATCCAGTTCTTCTCTTTCTTCCAGCAGACTGCTCTTTCTGGTATCCAGTTCTTGTGTTTGTCTGCTGAACTGGTCCTCCATGAGTTTTTGTTCTTCTTGTTTTAAAACAATCATGCTCATGATATTCTGAAGTTTGTTTTTTTCTGTGTGAAGATGAAGGGTCAGATCTTTAATGTTGGCTTTCTCTTTGTTTATCTCATCCAACTGAATTCGTTCATGTTCTTTCAACACTTGAAGATCAGTCTTTGTGATTTCCAATTTCTCTGTTTCTTCTCTTATATCTTGTCTCTGTTGTTCCAACATGTCCCTTTGTTTCAGGATGTCCGACCTGATCAAATCAAAGTCCAGTTTCTCTTTGTTCATCACCTCACTCTCTCTATCCAGGTACTCTCTTTCTTTCTTCAACTTTGCCTTCAGTTCCAGAAGATTTGTCCTTTCCAACAAGGCCTCTTGTTTCAGTTGATTTCCCATTTCCTGTCTTTGAGTGACACTTTCTAACAACATGATCTTCAACCTTTCTCTTTCCCTCTCTAACGTCTCAGTGTAACTTGACATATGTGCTTTCTGTTTATCCAGAACATCATGCTTTTGCTCCAAAACACTCAACAGTTTCAATATGTCTTCATTGTTTTGTTCCAGTCTGATCATTTTGATTTGAATTTCTTCACTCATCCTTTCACTCAGCTGGTGAAGTTTTTCCCTCAGAATTTCCATTGATTTCCTCGTATTCAATAGTAGATCTTCTCTTGTTTTCAGGTCCGACGTTCCTCTTTCCATTCGGTCCTTTTCATTGTTGAGCATTGCTATTTCCATGTCAGTAGTACTCTGCATCTGATTGAGTATATCTCTCTCTGAACTGATGGTGTTCATGGCTGTTTCAACCTCTTCCTTCTTCTTGTTGAGATCCTTCCTCAAAAGATCCAGTTCTTCTCTTTCTTCCAGCAGACTGCTCTTTCTGGTATCCAGTTCTTGTGTTTGTCTGCTGAACTGGTCCTCCTTGAGTTTTTGTTCTTCTTGTTTTAAAACAATCATGCTCATGATATTCTGAAGTTTGTTTTTTTCTGTGTGAAGATGAAGGGTCAGATCTTTAATGTTGGCTTTCTCTTTGTTTATCTCATCAAACTGAATTCGTTCATGTTCTTTCAACACTTGAAGATCAGTCTTTGTGATTTCCAATTTCTCTGTTTCTTCTCTTATATCTTGTCTCTGTTGTTCCAACATGTCCCTGTGTTTCAGGATGTCCGACCTTATCAAATAAAAGTCCAGTTTCTCTTTGTTCATCACCTCACTCTCTCTATCCAGGTCCTCTCTTTCTTTCTTCAACTCTGCCTTCAGTTCCAGAAGATTTGTCCTTTCCAACAAGGCCTCTTGTTTCAGTTGATTTCCCATTTCCTGTCTTTGAGTGACACTTTCTAACAACATGATCTTCAACCTTTCTCTTTCCCTCTCTAACGTCTCAGTGTAACTTGACATATGTGCTTTCAGTTTATCCAGAACATCATGCTTTTGCTCCAAAACACTCAACAGTTTCAATATGTCTTCATTGTTTTGTTCCAGTCTGATCATTTTGATTTGAATTTCTTCACTCATCCTTTCACTCAGCTGGTGAAGTTTTTCCGTCAGAATTTCCATTGATTTCCTCGTATTCAATAGTAGATCTTCTCTTGTTTTCAGGTCCGACGTTCCTCTTTCCATTCGGTCCTTTTCATTCTTGAGCATTGCTATTTCCATGTCAGTAGTACTCTGCATCTGATTGAGTATATCTCTCTCTGAACTGATGGTGTTCATGGCTGTTTCAACCTCTTCCTTCTTCTTGTTGAGATCCTTCCTCAAAAGATCCAGTTCTTCTCTTTCTTCCAGCAGACTGCTCTTTCTGGTATCCAGTTCTTGTGTTTGTCTGCTGAACTGGTCCTCCATGAGTTTTTGTTCTTCTTGTTTTAAAACAATCATGCTCATGATATTCTGAAGTTTGTTTTTTTCTGTGTGAAGATGAAGGGTCAGATCTTTAATGTTGGCTTTTTCTTTGTTTATCTCATCCAACTGAATTCGTTCATGTTCTTTCAACACTTGAAGATCAGTCTTTGTGATTTCCAATTTCTCTGTTTCTTCTCTTATATCTTGTCTCTGTTGTTCCAACATGTCCCTTTGTTTCAGGATGTCCGACCTGATCAAATCAAAGTCCAGTTTCTCTTTGTTCATCACCTCACTCTCTCTATCCAGGTACTCTCTTTCTTTCTTCAACTTTGCCTTCAGTTCCAGAAGATTTGTCCTTTCCAACAAGGCCTCTTGTTTCAGTTGATTTCCCATTTCCTGTCTTTGAGTGACACTTTCTAACAACATGATCTTCAACCTTTCTCTTTCCCTCTCTAACGTCTCAGTGTAACTTGACATATGTGCTTTTTGTTTATCCAGAACATCATGCTTTTGCTCCAAAACACTCAACAGTTTCAATATGTCTTCATTGTTTTGTTCCAGTCTGATCATTTTGATTTGAATTTCTTCACTCATCCTTTCACTCAGCTGGTGAAGTTTTTCCGTCAGAATTTCCATTGATTTCCTCGTATTCAATAGTAGATCTTCTCTTGTTTTCAGGTCCGACGTTCCTCTTTCCATTCGGTCCTTTTCATTGTTGAGCATTGCTATTTCCATGTCAGTAGTACTCTGCATCTGATTGAGTATATCTCTCTCTGAACTGATGGTGTTCATGGCTGTTTCAACCTCTTCCTTCTTCTTGTTGAGATCCTTCCTCAAAAGATCCAGTTCTTCTCTTTCTTCCAGCAGACTGCTCTTTCTGGTATCCAGTTCTTGTGTTTGTCTGCTGAACTGGTCCTCCTTGAGTTTTTGTTCTTCTTGTTTTAAAACAATCATGCTCATGATATTCTGAAGTTTGTTTTTTTCTGTGTGAAGATGAAGGGTCAGATCTTTAATGTTGGCTTTCTCTTTGTTTATCTCATCAAACTGAATTCGTTCATGTTCTTTCAACACTTGAAGATCAGTCTTTGTGATTTCCAATTTCTCTGTTTCTTCTCTTATATCTTGTCTCTGTTGTTCCAACATGTCCCTTTGTTTCAGGATGTCCGACCTGATCAAATCAAAGTCCAGTTTCTCTTTGTTCATCACCTCACTCTCTCTATCCAGGTCCTCTCTTTCTTTCTTCAACTCTGCCTTCAGTTCCAGAAGATTTGTCCTTTCCAACAAGGCCTCTTGTTTCAGTTGATTTCCCATTTCCTGTCTTTGAGTGACACTTTCTAACAACATGATCTTCAACCTTTCTCTTTCCCTCTCTAACGTCTCAGTGTAACTTGACATATGTGCTTTCAGTTTATCCAGAACATCATGCTTTTGCTCCAAAACACTCAACAGTTTCAATATGTCTTCATTGTTTTGTTCCAGTCTGATCATTTTGATTTGAATTTCTTCACTCATCCTTTCACTCAGCTGGTGAAGTTTTTCCGTCAGAATTTCCATTGATTTCCTCGTATTCAATAGTAGATCTTCTCTTGTTTTCAGGTCCGACGTTCCTCTTTCCATTCGGTCCTTTTCATTGTTGAGCATTGCTATTTCCATGTCAGTAGTACTCTGCATCTGATTGAGTATATCTCTCTCTGAACTGATGGTGTTCATGGCTGTTTCAACCTCTTCATTCTTCTTGTTGAGATCCTTCCTCAAAAGATCCAGTTCTTCTCTTTCTTCCAGCAGACTGCTCTTTCTGGTATCCAGTTCTTGTGTTTGTCTGCTGAACTGGTCCTCCATGAGTTTTTGTTCTTCTTGTTTTAAAACAATCATGCTCATGATATTCTGAAGTTTGTTTTTTTCTGTGTGAAGATGAAGGGTCAGATCTTTAATGTTGGCTTTCTCTTTGTTTATCTCATCCAACTGAATTCGTTCATGTTCTTTCAACACTTGAAGATCAGTCTTTGTGATTTCCAATTTCTCTGTTTCTTCTCTTATATCTTGTCTCTGTTGTTCCAACATGTCCCTTTGTTTCAGGATGTCCAACCTGATCAAATCAAAGTCCAGTTTCTCTTTGTTCATCACCTCACTCTCTCTATCCAGGTACTCTCTTTCTTTCTTCAACTCTGCCTTCAGTTCCAGAAGATTTGTCCTTTCCAACAAGGCCTCTTGTTTCAGTTGATTTCCCATTTCCTGTCTTTGAGTGACACTTTCTAACAACATGATCTTCAACCTTTCTCTTTCCCTCTCTAACGTCTCAGTGTAACTTGACATATGTTCTTTCTGTTTATCCAGAACATCATGCTTTTGCTCCAAAACACTCAACAGTTTCAATATGTCTTCATTGTTTTGTTCCAGTCTGATCATTTTGATTTGAATTTCTTCACTCATCCTTTCACTCAGCTGGTGAAGTTTTTCCCTCAGAATTTCCATTGATTTCCTCGTATTCAATAGTAGATCTTCTCTTGTTTTCAGGTCCGACGTTCCTCTTTCCATTCGGTCCTTTTCATTGTTGAGCATTGTTATTTCCATGTCAGTAGTACTCTGCATCTGATTGAGTATATCTCTCTCTGAACTGATGGTGTTCATGGCTGTTTCAACCTCTTCATTCTTCTTGTTGAGATCCTTCCTCAAAAGATCCAGTTCTTCTCTTTCTTCCAGCAGACTGCTCTTTCTGGTATCCAGTTCTTGTGTTTGTCTGCTGAACTGGTCCTCCCTTGAGTTTTTGTTCTTCTTGTTTTAAAACAATCATGCTCATGATATTCTCAAGTTTGTTTTTTTCTGTGTGAAGATGAAGGGTCAGATCTTTAATGTTGGCTTTCTCTTTGTTTATCTCATCAAACTGAATTCGTTCATGTTCTTTCAACACTTGAAGATCAGTCTTTGTGATTTCCAATTTCTCTGTTTCTTCTCTTATATCTTGTCTCTGTTGTTCCAACATGTCCCTGTGTTTCAGGATGTCCGACCTGATCACATCAAAGTCCAGTTTCTCTTTGTTCATCACCTCACTCTCTCTATCCAGGTCCTCTCTTTCTTTCTTCAACTCTGCCTTCAGTTCCAGAAGATTTGTCCTTTCCAACAAGGCCTCTTGTTTCAGTTGATTTCCCATTTCCTGTCTTTGAGTGACACTTTCTAACAACATGATCTTCAACCTTTCTCTTTCCCTCTCTAACGTCTCAGTGTAACTTGACATATGTGCTTTCTGTTTATCCAGAACATCATGCTTTTGCTCCAAAACACTCAACAGTTTCAATATGTCTTCATTGTTTTGTTCCAGTCTGATCATTTTGATTTGAATTTCTTCACTCATCCTTTCACTCAGCTGGTGAAGTTTTTTCCGTCAGAATTTCCATTGATTTCCTCGTATTCAATAGTAGATCTTCTCTTGTTTTCAGGTCCGACGTTCCTCTTTCCATTCGGTCCTTTTCATTCTTGAGCATTGCTATTTCCATGTCAGTAGTACTCTGCATCTGATTGAGTATATCTCTCTCTGAACTGATGGTGTTCATGGCTGTTTCAACCTCTTCATTCTTCTTGTTGAGATCCTTCCTCAAAAGATCCAGTTCTTCTCTTTCTTCCAGCAGACTGCTCTTTCTGGTATCCAGTTCTTGTGTTTGTCTGCTGAACTGGTCCTCCATGAGTTTTTGTTCTTCTTGTTTTAAAACAATCATGCTCATGATATTCTGAAGTTTGTTTTTTTCTGTGTGAAGATGAAGGGTCAGATCTTTAATGTTGGCTTTCTCTTTGTTTATCTCATCCAACTGAATTCGTTCATGTTCTTTCAACACTTGAAGATCAGTCTTTGTGATTTCCAATTTCTCTGTTTCTTCTCTTATATCTTGTCTCTGTTGTTCCAACATGTCCCTTTGTTTCAGGATGTCCAACCTGATCAAATCAAAGTCCAGTTTCTCTTTGTTCATCACCTCACTCTCTCTATCCAGGTACTCTCTTTCTTTCTTCAACTCTGCCTTCAGTTCCAGAAGATTTGTCCTTTCCAACAAGGCCTCTTGTTTCAGTTGATTTCCCATTTCCTGTCTTTGAGTGACACTTTCTAACAACATGATCTTCAACCTTTCTCTTTCCCTCTCTAACGTCTCAGTGTAACTTGACATATGTGCTTTTTGTTTATCCAGAACATCATGCTTTTGCTCCAAAACACTCAACAGTTTCAATATGTCTTCATTGTTTTGTTCCAGTCTGATCATTTTGATTTGAATTTCTTCACTCATCCTTTCACTCAGCTGGTGAAGTTTTTCCCTCAGAATTTCCATTGATTTCCTCGTATTCAATAGTAGATCTTCTCTTGTTTTCAGGTCCGACGTTCCTCTTTCCATTCGGTCCTTTTCATTGTTGAGCATTGCTATTTCCATGTCAGTAGTACTCTGCATCTGATTGAGTATATCTCTCTCTGAACTGATGGTGTTCATGGCTGTTTCAACCTCTTCATTCTTCTTGTTGAGATCCTTACTCAAAAGATCCAGTTCTTCTCTTTCTTCCAGCAGACTGCTCTTTCTGGTATCCAGTTCTTGTGTTTGTCTGCTGAACTGGTCCTCCTTGAGTTTTTGTTCTTCTTGTTTTAAAACAATCATGCTCATGATATTCTGAAGTTTGTTTTTTTCTGTGTGAAGATGAAGGGTCAGATCTTTAATGTTGGCTTTCTCTTTGTTTATCTCATCAAACTGAATTCGTTCATGTTCTTTCAACACTTGAAGATCAGTCTTTGTGATTTCCAATTTCTCTGTTTCTTCTCTTATATCTTGTCTCTGTTGTTCCAACATGTCCCTTTGTTTCAGGATGTCCGACCTGATCAAATCAAAGTCCAGTTTCTCTTTGTTCATCACCTCACTCTCTCTATCCAGGTACTCTCTTTCTTTCTTCAACTTTGCCTTCAGTTCCAGAAGATTTGTCCTTTCCAACAAGGCCTCTTGTTTCAGTTGATTTCCCATTTCCTGTCTTTGAGTGACACTTTCTAACAACATGATCTTCAACCTTTCTCTTTCCCTCTCTAACGTCTCAGTGTAACTTGACATATGTTCTTTCTGTTTATCCAGAACATCATGCTTTTGCTCCAAAACACTCAACAGTTTCAATATGTCTTCATTGTTTTGTTCCAGTCTGATCATTTTGATTTGAATTTCTTCACTCATCCTTTCACTCAGCTGGTGAAGTTTTTCCCTCAGAATTTCCATTGATTTCCTCGTATTCAATAGTAGATCTTCTCTTGTTTTCAGGTCCGACGTTCCTCTTTCCATTCGGTCCTTTTCATTCTTGAGCATTGCTATTTCCATGTCAGTAGTACTCTGCATCTGATTGAGTATATCTCTCTCTGAACTGATGGTGTTCATGGCTGTTTCAACCTCTTCATTCTTCTTGTTGAGATCCTTCCTCAAAAGATCCAGTTCTTCTCTTTCTTCCAGCAGACTGCTCTTTCTGGTATCCAGTTCTTGTGTTTGTCTGCTGAACTGGTCCTCCATGAGTTTTTGTTCTTCTTGTTTTAAAACAATCATGCTCATGATATTCTGAAGTTTGTTTTTTTCTGTGTGAAGATGAAGGGTCAGATCTTTAACGTTGGCTTTCTCTTTGTTTATTTCATCAAACTGAATTCGTTCATGTTCTTTCAACACTTGAAGATCAGTCTTTGTGATTTCCAATTTCTCTGTTTCTTCTCTTATATCTTGTCTCTGTTGTTCCAACATGTCCCTGTGTTTCAGGATGTCCGACCTGATCACATCAAAGTCCAGTTTCTCTTTGTTCATCACCTCACTCTCTCTATCCAGGTCCTCTCTTTCTTTCTTCAACTCTGCCTTCAGTTCCAGAAGATTTGTCCTTTCCAACAAGGCCTCTTGTTTCAGTTGATTTCCCATTTCCTGTCTTTGAGTGACACTTTCTAACAACATGATCTTCAACCTTTCTCTTTCCCTCTCTAACAGTCTCAGTGTAACTTGACATATGTGCTTTCTAGTTTATCCAGAACATCATGCTTTTGCTCCAAAACACTCAACAGTTTCAATATGTCTTCATTGTTTTGTTCCAGTCTGATCATTTTGATTTGAATTTCTTCACTCATCCTTTCACTCAGCTGGTGAAGTTTTTCCCGTCAGAATTTCCATTGATTTCCTCGTATTCAATAGTAGATCTTCTCTTGTTTTCAGGTCCGACATTACTCTTTCCATTCGGTCCTTTTCATTCTTGAGCATTGCTATTTCCATGTCAGTAGTACTCTGCATCTGATTGAGTATATCTCTCTCTGAACTGATGGAGTTCATGGCTGTTTCAACCTCTTCATTCTTCTTGTTGAGATCCTTCCTCAAAAGATCCAGTTCTTCTCTTTCTTCCAGCAGACTGCTCTTTCTGGTATCCAGTTCTTGTGTTTGTCTGCTGAACTGGTCCTCCATTGAGTTTTTGTTCTTCTTGTTTTAAAACAATCATGCTCATGATATTCTGAAGTTTGTTTTTTTCTGTGTGAAGATGAAGGGTCAGATCTTTAATGTTGGCTTTCTCTTTGTTTATCTCATCAAACTGAATTCGTTCATGTTCTTTCAACACTTGAAGATCAGTCTTTGTGATTTCCAATTTCTCTGTTTCTTCTCTTATATCTTGTCTCTGTTGTTCCAATATGTCCCTTTGTTTCAGGATGTCCGACCTGATCACATCAAAGTCCAGTTTCTCTTTGTTCATCACCTCACTCTCTCTATCCAGGTACTCTCTTTCTTTCTTCAACTCTGCCTTCAGTTCCAGAAGATTTGTCCTTTCCAACAAGGCCTCTTGTTTCAGTTGATTTCCCATTTCCTGTCTTTGAGTGACACTTTCTAACAACATGATCTTCAACCTTTCTCTTTCCCTCTCTAACGTCTCAGTGTAACTTGACATATGTGCTTTCTGTTTATCCAGAACATCATGCTTTTGCTCCAAAACACTCAACAGTTTCAATATGTCTTCATTGTTTTGTTCCAGTCTGATCATTTTGATTTTAATTTCTTCACTCATCCTTTCACTCAGCTGGTGAAGTTTTTCCCTCAGAATTTCCATTGAGTTCCTCGTATTCAATAGTAGATCTTCTCTTGTTTTCAGGTCCGACGTTCCTCTTTCCATTCGGTCCTTTTCATTGTTGAGCATTGCTATTTCCATGTCAGTAGTACTCTGCATCTGATTGAGTATATCTCTCTCTGAACTGATGGTGTTCATGGCTGTTTCAACCTCTTCATTCTTCTTGTTGAGATCCTTCCTCAAAAGATCCAGTTCTTCTCTTTCTTCCAGCAGACTGCTCTTTCTGGTATCCAGTTCTTGTGTTTGTCTGCTGAACTGGTCCTCCACTGAGTTTTTGTTCTTCTTGTTTTAAAACAATCATGCTCATGATATTCTGAAGTTTGTTTTTTTCTGTGTGAAGATGAAGGGTCAGATCTTTAATGTTGGCTTTCTCTTTGTTTATCTCATCAAACTGAATTCGTTCATGTTCTTTCAACACTTGAAGATCAGTCTTTGTGATTTCCAATTTCTCTGTTTCTTCTCTTATATCTTGTCTCTGTTGTTCCAACATGTCCCTGTGTTTCAGGATGTCCGACCTGATCACATCAAAGTCCAGTTTCTCTTTGTTCATCACCTCACTCTCTCTATCCAGGTCCTCTCTTTCTTTCTTCAACTCTGCCTTCAGTTCCAGAAGATTTGTCCTTTCCAACAAGGCCTCTTGTTTCAGTTGATTTCCCATTTCCTGTCTTTGAGTGACACTTTCTAACAACATGATCTTCAACCTTTCTCTTTCCCTCTCTAACATCTCAGTGTAACTTGACATATGTTCTTTCTGTTTATCCAGAACATCATGCTTTTGCTCCAAAACACTCAACAGTTTCAATATGTCTTCATTGTTTTGTTCCAGTCTGATCATTTTGATTTGAATTTCTTCACTCATCCTTTCACTCAGCTGGTGAAGTTTTTCCCTCAGAATTTCCATTGATTTCCTCGTATTCAATAGTAGATCTTCTCTTGTTTTCAGGTCCGACGTTCCTCTTTCCATTCGGTCCTTTTCATTGTTGAGCATTGCTATTTCCATGTCAGTAGTACTCTGCATCTGATTGAGTATATCTCTCTCTGAACTGATGGTGTTCATGGCTGTTTCAACCTCTTCCTTCTTCTTGTTGAGATCCTTCCTCAAAAGATCCAGTTCTTCTCTTTCTTCCAGCAGACTGCTCTTTCTGGTATCCAGTTCTTGTGTTTGTCTGCTGAACTGGTCCTCCATGAGTTTTTGTTCTTCTTGTTTTAAAACAATCATGCTCATGATATTCTGAAGTTTGTTTTTTTCTGTGTGAAGATGAAGGGTCAGATCTTTAATGTTGGCTTTCTCTTTGTTTATCTCATCCAACTGAATTCGTTCATGTTCTTTCAACACTTGAAGATCAGTCTTTGTGATTTCCAATTTCTCTGTTTCTTCTCTTATATCTTGTCTCTGTTGTTCCAACATGTCCCTTTGTTTCAGGATGTCCGACCTGATCACATCAAAGTCCAGTTTCTCTTTGTTCATCACCTCACTCTCTCTATCCAGGTACTCTCTTTCTTTCTTCAACTCTGCCTTCAGTTCCAGAAGATTTGTCCTTTCCAACAAGGCCTCTTGTTTCAGTTGATTTCCCATTTCCTGTCTTTGAGTGACACTTTCTAACAACATGATCTTCAACCTTTCTCTTTCCCTCTCTAACATCTCAGTGTAACTTGACATATGTTCTTTCTGTTTATCCAGAACATCATGCTTTTGCTCCAAAACACTCAACAGTTTCAATATGTCTTCATTGTTTTGTTCCAGTCTGATCATTTTGATTTGAATTTCTTCACTCGTCCTTTCACTCAGCTGGTGAAGTTTTTCCCTCAGAATTTCCATTGATTTCCTCGTATTCAATAGTAGATCTTCTCTTGTTTTCAGGTCCGACGTTCCTCTTTCCATTCTGTCCTTTTCATTGTTGAGCATTGCTATTTCCATGTCAGTAGTACTCTGCATCTGATTGAGTATATCTCTCTCTGAACTGATGGTGTTCATGGCTGTTTCAACCTCTTCCTTCTTCTTGTTGAGATCCTTCCTCAAAAGATCCAGTTCTTCTCTTTCTTCCAGCAGACTGCTCTTTCTGGTATCCAGTTCTTGTGTTTGTCTGCTGAACTGGTCCTCCTTGAGTTTTTGTTCTTCTTGTTTTAAAACAATCATGCTCATGATATTCTCAAGTTTCTTTTTTTCTGTGTGAAGATGAAGGGTCAGATCTTTAATGTTGGCTTTCTCTTTGTTTATCTCATCAAACTGAATTCGTTCATGTTCTTTCAACACTTGAAGATCAGTCTTTGTGATTTCCAATTTCTCTGTTTCTTCTCTTATATCTTGTCTCTGTTGTTCCAACATGTCCCTTTGTTTCAGGATGTCCGACCTGATCACATCAAAGTCCAGTTTCTCTTTGTTCATCACCTCACTCTCTCTATCCAGGTACTCTCTTTCTTTCTTCAACTCTGCCTTCAGTTCCAGAAGATTTGTCCTTTCCAACAAGGCCTCTTGTTTCAGTTGATTACCCATTTCCTGTCTTTGAGTGACACTTTCTAACAACATGATCTTCAACCTTTCTCTTTCCCTCTCTAACGTCTCAGTGTAACTTGACATATGTGCTTTCTGTTTATCCAGAACATCATGCTTTTGCTCCAAAACACTCAACAGTTTCAATATGTCTTCATTGTTTTGTTCCAGTCTGATCATTTTGATTTGAATTTCTTCACTCATCCTTTCACTCAGCTGGTGAAGTTTTTCCCTCAGAATTTCCATTGATTTCCTCGTATTCAATAGTAGATCTTCTCTTGTTTTCAGGTCCGACGTTCCTCTTTCCATTCGGTCCTTTTCATTGTTGAGCATTGCTATTTCCATGTCAGTAGTACTCTGCATCTGATTGAGTATATCTCTCTCTGAACTGATGGTGTTCATGGCTGTTTCAACCTCTTCCTTCTTCTTGTTGAGATCCTTCCTCAAAAGATCCAGTTCTTCTCTTTCTTCCAGCAGACTGCTCTTTCTGGTATCCAGTTCTTGTGTTTGTCTGCTGAACTGGTCCTCCTTGAGTTTTTGTTCTTCTTGTTTTAAAACAGTCATGCTCATGATATTCTGAAGTTTGTTTTTTTCTGTGTGAAGATGAAGGGTCAGATCTTTAATGTTGGCTTTCTCTTTGTTTATCTCATCAAACTGAATTCGTTCATGTTCTTTCAACACTTGAAGATCAGTCTTTGTGATTTCCAATTTCTCTGTTTCTTCTCTTATATCTTGTCTCTGTTGTTCCAACATGTCCCTGTGTTTCAGGATGTCCGACCTTATCAAATAAAAGTCCAGTTTCTCTTTGTTCATCACCTCACTCTCTCTATCCAGGTCCTCTCTTTCTTTCTTCAACTCTGCCTTCAGTTCCAGAAGATTTGTCCTTTCCAACAAGGCCTCTTGTTTCAGTTGATTTCCCATTTCCTGTCTTTGAGTGACACTTTCTAACAACATGATCTTCAACCTTTCTCTTTCCCTCTCTAACGTCTCAGTGTAACTTGACATATGTGCTTTCAGTTTATCCAGAACATCATGCTTTTGCTCCAAAACACTCAACAGTTTCAATATGTCTTCATTGTTTTGTTCCAGTCTGATCATTTTGATTTGAATTTCTTCACTCATCCTTTCACTCAGCTGGTGAAGTTTTTCCCGTCAGAATTTCCATTGATTTCCTCGTATTCAATAGTAGATCTTCTCTTGTTTTCAGGTCCGACGTTCCTCTTTCCATTCGGTCCTTTTCATTCTTGAGCATTGCTATTTTCATGTCAGTAGTACTCTGCATCTGATTGAGTATATCTCTCTCTGAACTGATGGTGTTCATGGCTGTTTCAACCTCTTCCTTCTTCTTGTTGAGATCCTTCCTCAAAAGATCCAGTTCTTCTCTTTCTTCCAGCAGACTGCTCTTTCTGGTATCCAGTTCTTGTGTTTGTCTGCTGAACTGGTCCTCCTTGAGTTTTTGTTCTTCTTGTTTTAAAACAGTCATGCTCATGATATTCTGAAGTTTGTTTTTTTCTGTGTGAAGATGAAGGGTCAGATCTTTAATGTTGGCTTTCTCTTTGTTTATTTCATCAAACTGAATTCGTTCATGTTCTTTCAACACTTGAAGATCAGTCTTTGTGATTTCCAATTTCTCTGTTTCTTCTCTTATATCTTGTCTCTGTTGTTCCAACATGTCCCTGTGTTTCAGGATGTCCGACCTGATCACATAAAGTCCAGTTTCTCTTTGTTCATCACCTCACTCTCTCTATCCAGGTCCTCTCTTTCTTTCTTCAACTCTGCCTTCAGTTCCAGAAGATTTGTCCTTTCCAACAAGGCCTCTTGTTTCAGTTGATTTCCCATTTCCTGTCTTTGAGTGACACTTTCTAACAACATGATCTTCAACCTTTCTCTTTCCCTCTCTAACATCTCAGTGTAACTTGACATATGTTCTTTCTGTTTATCCAGAACATCATGCTTTTGCTCCAAAACACTCAACAGTTTCAATATGTCTTCATTGTTTTGTTCCAGTCTGATCATTTTGATTTGAATTTCTTCACTCATCCTTTCACTCAGCTGGTGAAGTTTTTCCCTCAGAATTTCCATTGATTTCCTCATATTCAATAGTAGATCTTCTCTTGTTTTCAGGTCCGACGTTCCTCTTTCCATTCTGTCCTTTTCATTGTTGAGCATTGCTATTTCCATGTCAGTAGTACTCTGCATCTGATTGAGTATATCTCTCTCTGAACTGATGGTGTTCATGGCTGTTTCAACCTCTTCCTTCTTCTTGTTGAGATCCTTCCTCAAAAGATCCAGTTCTTCTCTTTCTTCCAGCAGACTGCTCTTTCTGGTATCCAGTTCTTGTGTTTGTCTGCTGAACTGGTCCTCCTTGAGTTTTTGTTCTTCTTGTTTTAAAACAGTCATGCTCATGATATTCTGAAGTTTGTTTTTTTCTGTGTGAAGATGAAGGGTCAGATCTTTAATGTTGGCTTTCTCTTTGTTTATCTCATCAAACTGAATTCGTTCATGTTCTTTCAACACTTGAAGATCAGTCTTTGTGATTTCCAATTTCTCTGTTTCTTCTCTTATATCTTGTCTCTGTTGTTCCAACATGTCCCTGTGTTTCAGGATGTCCGACCTGATCACATCAAAGTCCAGTTTCTCTTTGTTCATCACCTCACTCTCTCTATCCAGGTCCTCTCTTTCTTTCTTCAGCTCTTCATCTAGTTTTTTTAAATCCAAATGTTTTTCAACAAGGTTTAGATTACTCTGCTTTGTCACATTTTCACTCTCCATATTTGAATTTCTTATCAGTCCTTGTTTTTTTAGAAGCTCGATTTCATTTGCACCATTTTTCCCCTCTTCATCCAATTCCGGTTCTTTTTTATTTTCCGGCTCAATTTGTTCCTTTTGAAGATTTGAAGTTTTCGGGATTTTTTGTCTTTTCTGATTTCCAACATCATTATTCGGCCTTTTCATTTCTCTTTTTTTTTTTTTCTCTCTCTGGCCTTCATCTTTGACCATCAATGCCTCAGTTCTGAGATCCTCTTTCCCTAGCTCTTCCTTTCTCTCTTTTATGATACTCACCTCCTCCTGCTCCAAATGTCTTTGCTTTTTTTTCATGCTCTTTAAAGCACATATTCTTTTTTTCTGTCTTTTAATCCCAATCTTGATATTTCCTACGTCTTCTCTTCTCTGGGTTATGTTTTTCGCCTGGTCCACTATGTGCTGTTTTTCATCTGTCACTTCTCCATTCCATTCTTCAATCAGTTTTTTCTCAATACTTTTCTGAATTAGCTCCCAGTGCTTTGGAATTGAATTTTGAACTTTTGTGGCTGTGGCCATGCTGGAGACTATAGCTCCACCTTTGCTCTGTTCGCTTTCTCTCAGCAGCTTCAGTTTCATGATCTCCAGTTCATCCCTCTTTCTGTGTATTCTCTCCAATCGCTGGTCAAGGTCTTTTCTCCTCTTCTGTACCTCCCTCTTGAAAGCATGTTTTTCTTCTTCGAGCTGAGCCAACATATTTTTTACATCCTGCTCTTTTTTAATGCTTCGTCGAATCATCTGTTGATTTTCAGTTATTTTGTTCTCCAACTCATACTTCAACACTTCAACCTCCCTTTTTTCTCTCTTAACTTCTTCTAGTCGGATTTCAAGCCCCTGTTTTTGTTTTTGGATACTGTCTTTCATGCTGACCATTTCATCCATCTCTGCTTTTCCTTTATCAGTAGTTTGTTCTTTTACTCTCTGCTTTTCCTCAGCCATCTCATCCTTCTGCCGTTGCAGTTTTATCCAGAATATTTCTGACTCATCCCTCTCTCTCTTGATTTCTTCCAGTCTTTGGTCTAATTCTCTTCTCATCTTTTGGGTCTCTCTTCTCAATTCTCCCTTTTCTCTTTGTATGACATTCCACTTTGTCTGCATATTTCTTCTAAATATCTGGTCACTTTCTTTTTTCTTAATTTCCAGCTCTGACCTCAGAATCTCCATTTCTCTTATTTCTCTTTTGGTAGTTTGCGTTCTGTCAACAAGCTCCTGTTTCTCTCTTTTTATACTCTCCCTTAAACAGTTAATTTCATATGCTTCTGCCTCAGCTTGCTCTCTTTCTATTATCACACTCTCCCTCTCAACTTGAATCTGTTGTTTGAGGATCTCAATCTCTTTACTTTCAGTCTCTAGTTTCACTTGTTCAGTTACAGACTCTTTCAGTTTTTCAATTTCACAGTTTTTCTGATCCAGTGTCAGTTTCATTTCTTTCTCACGTTTCTCCTGTTCTGATATAAGTCGAGTGATGGCATTTTCCATTTCCTCAATATTCTTACCCATTCTTTTCTCTGGCATGTTGTCCATTTGTGTGTCATGTTTTTTTTTGTCTCCCTTCAGTGTCTCAATACTTTCCAAGGAAAATTCTCTGTCCTCTTTCTGCCTGAGTTCAGTGTTGAATTTCAAAAGGTCAGTTATTTCTTTGGATATGAAAGCATGTCTTTTTTCCAGTTCTTTTTTGGTAGTCTCAATTTTACAGCTCAGGTCTTCCAACTTTTTCAGTTTTACTTGGGTCTCCTTCCTAACAATATCTATGGCCTGACTTGTATGTCTAGTCCTAGCTGTGACTTTCTCTATGGTGCCCTTAACTTTAGCTAGTTTTCTTCTAACTTCAGTTTGTTTCTGTGTTTTTATTTTTAAAACTTCAAATTCATCTCTGTCTCTCATTATTTTCTCTAACCTCTGATCCAGTTTTCTTTCCTGTATTTTTGCTGTAGTTTTCCTCGATTTCATGTTGCTGATTTCTTCTTTCAGATACATTTCTCTTTGCCTTATTGCTGTTTGTACCATTTTTAAAAGCTCTTGGAATCTTTTCAGTTCTTGTAGCAATCCTTCAATTGTGCCGTCTTTATCCTTATGATCTTGGTTGATATGGCTTTCTTCAGCTTGGTTGTCAAGATCTAGGTTAACTAGTCTAATGTTTTTTTGTGTTTTATAAATCTCTGCCCTAAGTCTTTGAATATCATCACTTCCTGTGTCCTTTGTAGCAAACCCTTCCTTTATCTTATCAGTATTGGTCTGCATATATTGTGTTGAATCCTGACTTTGTTTTTGCTCATGAACATTATTAACAACTTCTTTTTTCACCCCTTTGCCGTTCTCCTGTTTTTGAACTTTTACTTCAAATTTGACGATCTCATCTGTGGTGCTTTCCCTGCCTGTAATTCGTAACCAATTTTCAGTCTCTGGTTTCTGGCTCTGCAGGTCATTTATATATATAATAAGCTTTTTAATCTCTTGACTTTCTTCCTCCATGTTTTCCATAGCAAACTTTATTTGCTCCCTTATTTCCTCCTCTCTTTTCTTGAGTTTGCACATCTGGTTCTTCACTTCCCTTTCGTTTCCTACACGTATCGCAAGTTTTGTCTTTTCTTCATCCATTATTGTTTTTTCTTGAAGTTCTGTCTGCATCTGCAAGAAAACATTGTGCTCCTGCTTCTTTATATCCTCAATTAGATGCCGGTCTGCTAATGTTTTAGATTGTTGCAAAGATATCGTTTCTTTTGTAATTGCATCTTCTATGCCGTCTCTGTCCGATGGAATTTCAAAAGTTTGATCCTTGATAGAGGCTGTGTTTTTGCCTGAAAAGGCGTCTTTGGTAGATTTGCTCACCTGAACTTTCATGGAAGTCATCATATCCTTTAGAAAAAAGAAATAATTGTCAGTGTTTTACTTAAATATTCTCATGAAATATAGTAGATCAACAAACTAAAGAATGCCTTTCCTTGAGACATTTATTCTATTCATTTATATTATGCTTGGTTGTAATAACATATATTTAGAGCAAAAACAGATGTGAGTGTAAAATAGATCCTTAAAGGGCCCATGTCATGCTTTTCCGGTTATTACCCGTCCCCTTGTGTGTTATGAAGGTTTTTATGCATGTAAACGGTCTGCAGAGTCACAAACCCTCAAAGTAGACCCTGTAGCGAGTAAAACTCTAACACAGAAAATACCTCCCCAAAACGCCTCGTTGGAGATACGTCATTGTCCATTTGATTCTTCCATTTCGTTCCGGGTACGGCATGATGTCATGCCGTACCCGGAACGAAATGGACCAATCCGTGGAGCCGTTACGTTACGTCCACGGAGCCGTTACGTTAAGCCCCCGCTGATTGGTCCAAATTGACCAATCCACGGACTTCCTCACACACACACACTCAGTGCAGGCAGCTCTGCTGATTTCTTCTCCCTGTGCAGGCTGATAACAGACAGTTGGGATCGCGGCGAAATTCTCTCTGCAGACCCATTCTCACAGAGTTTATCAACCTTTTTCTTATTCAATATCAAGCCACACTTATTGTTTTTACTTCGGCTGTGAGTTTGTGTGTGCTCAGGATGAGTTTGGCTGTGTTTCGTTGTGTATCGCTAAACAAGGAAACCACACCTCCACGGAGCTCAGCGCGATTCACAACGTCCCGACCAATCAGAGCACACTGTGCTCACAGGGAGGGTGGGGGCTGGAGCTATTGGAGCTCCAACGAGCCGTTAAAGGCAGAGAGTGAAATTCAGTGAATACACGTAGTTTACAGAGATGCTGTATGAGAAAACAATGTGAGTTTGGAAAATTGCACAATATAAATCTATTCTAGTAGACCTCAACAATGGAATTATGATCAGTGGAAATGGCCATGACATGGGCCCTTTAAAATGTTTTATTTGCAATTATACATCCAAGAGTGGTGGATTAGGCATTCACATGTTTGTGTTAAAGCTCACCTATTATGCTTTATTTGAACAATATATTTCCGGGCGCCGTACATAATGGCAACTCACTGCTCCTAACACTAGGATGGGTCAAATGCAGAGAAACCGTTTCATTACTAGTAGGTTACTATGTAATGACAATTAAGTTGAATCTTATCTTATCTTATCTTATATTATAGGGCCATATCTATACAAAACATGTCTCTGAAGTGTTTTGCCCAAAATACCAAACAGATCACCCATTGTAGCATGCCTCATACCCCTCTATTTCAACCCTGTTACTAAAGTGCTGATTCTGGGTCTGGCCCTTTAAATGTAACCGAGCTGCTGCTGGCCACACCCCTTTGGATCTGCTAAAGGCGTCCGCATGCAAGCAGTGAGCTCTGTGAAGAGAAGGCTGTCTACCAGCAGAAACTCAGCTAAATGCTGCAGCAACATTTTATATCCTGCTACTTTACACATATTCTCTCCAGTACAGCGTTAGCTCTGAGTGTTAGCGATGCTTGCTAATGTAAACACAGACCATATTTCGTCCAAAACACGTTGCGCATTGTTTCTGATAGGACGTTTCTGATAGGACCGTGGGTGTAAAGCCAGCCCACATTTCAGATATTACGTAATATTGACAACAAATCTGGATCAGCTCCGTTGTTCCCCCGTTTTTAGAGATGTGGTTACGGAGGAAAAGAGAGAGGGTTGTATTTTCTGACACTTTGTGAGTTTTCTTACACACCGGTAACCTGTAGCTGCTCCGTCCACGCTCACAACAACGTCATACAGACATAAATAAAGCAGCGACTGTATTCGCCATGACATAGACAGTCTGTGGTTTGTACATGTTTAACTTTTGTCCAGTTTCTGAACAGATATGAGGAGCTGTGAGCTCTGAGTGTGTGCTAACAGCTAACGGCTGATGTGTTGGGACATGTTGCGCTGTCGGGTGCTGACCAATCACGAAGCGTCATTTCTTGACTGGCAGCAAAAACAACCAATCACAGCAGTGCTTCTCTGGCTGGCTCTGTCCAATCACAAACAAGAAGTGTTCTCCCTAAAGGAATACCCTTTCCGTCCAATGTGAAATGCTGTGGTGTTTTGTGAAATGCTGTTGTGTTTTCTGAAATGCTGTTGTGTTCTGAAATGCTGTGGTGTTTTCTGAAATGCTGTTGTGTTTTCTGAAATGCTGTAGTGTTTTCTGAAATGCTGTTGTGTTTTCTGAAATGCTGTGGTGTTTTGTGAAATGCTGTGGTGTCTTGCACTTCCGGGCCACCGTATATAAAAGACGTACAAAAGTGCATTTTGCATGATAGGTCCCCTTTAAACAGTGAGAACCTGTATACCTCCGAGGCAAGTAGCAAATAATTAGTCGACGACTTATTTAGTTAAATTGAAATGCCCTCCTTAGATGAATCAGACAAATCTGCACTGGAAAGAAAAATAACTAACAGAGATTGATTACGCAATTCAAAAAATTAAGCCCGGAAAAACACCAGGCCCTGGGTATCCAAGTAAATAAAAAATAAAAAGTTAACTAAACGCTATTGGTAAAGGTATTTGAAGAGGTCTTGGTAAAGAAGGATCTCCCCCCATCTATGACGCAGGTCTCTATCTCATTATTACTCAAAAAGAATGAAGATCGGTTGTTCTGTGAGTGATATCGCCCGGTTAGTCTTCTATGTTAAGACTATAACATTCTAACCAAGGTCAAGGCAGGGAGGCTTGAGAAAATGATGCCTAAATTAATACATTCAGATCAGACTGGTTTAATTGTGGGTAAACAGCTATCAAGCAACGTTCGCCGTGTATTCAATGTCATCTATCAGTCCAATCATGTCGAACCAGAGGTTATTATATCCTTGGTGACCAAGCAATACTTGTGGGGTCCGGAAGAACATTTAGAAAAATAACCCTTAAATTATGACTTCTAGTAGTTACCTCTCAGTGTATAGATGGGAGCAACGCATCCGGGTACTTTCCCTCTACGCAAGGCCATGCCCCTTTTGGGTGAAAACACTTGCTGTCACTTGAATGGCTGTAAATACAGACTCTGACGTTTTCGGCAATCACATCAACAAATGAATACCGCGCCTTTTTTATCTACAAGCAGCCCAGCTACGATGGTCAGACAGGCAAACTATTAAACCATGTTATTGGAGATCATTGACCGGCGTTGATTTACGGTTTAATTTAAATCAGTAGGGGATGGATGACCGGTCAGTCTGCCGGGGTAAGAGTGGCAGGCAGCAGGTTTGCACTGAAACTGTGATTTCTAAATCAGATCGTTTCTTTTACTGTCCTTTTTCTGTAGAGGTAGTGAAGAATCCGTAACTCGGGATTTCTTTGTTGTTTGACGTGCAATATAAGACTCAGCAGCTTTAAGACTTGAAGAAACTATTATTTTCCGCTTCGTTCTAATTCCTTGTTTTCACCGGAAAGAGGGCAGGGCCATAATTTCGCCCGGAATAAATGCACTTTTATTTGGAAATAAACGTTGCCTAAATAAATATGGAATCACCTTTGTGTCATTAAGATAAAGCAACACTTTCTCAGAATCAAGCAAAACTAAGGGTTTAAGACAGGGGTGGGGAACCTCTAGATTTTAAAGAAATCTAGACCGCAAAATAATTAAACAAGCGAGTGCCTGTTTTTCCTGGCACTGACTCAAGGTCAGGGTCCTTGAACACAACACAAGACTAACGTGTCATCACGTGGTATATGTCTCGTCTGACAGGGGTGTAGTGCTGACGGAGAGCACCAGAACGCCGCTCCGGCACTTCAGAAATTGCAGTACCCATAAGGAGCTGTTCACATGCCACAGTTTTTGCGTGGCTGTGTCTTTAGTTGAAAGCCCAGTGGGCGATCTGTTCATCTGTCATACCAGGGTTGCCAACTTTGGGTACCTGGCTGGAGTGAGATTTTGATATCATGAGTTTAATTACACATATGTGACCCGCTCTATCGAAATCAGTCGGATGTCGCAACGGCTCATTTCAAAATAAACGTGGATTTGCGTAAAAAACTATTTTTTCGGGGTTCGGGTGTTTTGTTTGATTTTAAATAAACGAAGTCTTGGCTTTCAGAATATGAAACTTTTATTTCCAAAATCACACGATAAATACATTTGTGAAGCTTGTGAAGGGAAGATGACAGGCACCTCTCGCTCGCAATCTGCTCTTCCGTAGCGCAGCCCCCCCCTCCCTCCGGCTGAAATTATGAATGTAAGGCATATAGTTATCTAGATAACACGGCGGGGTCCGTTACAGTTTGTTTTCATCTGATTTCAATTAAACAAAGTCTTGGCTTTCAGAATATTAAACTTGTTTCGGCAAATTTAGATGATAAATACAACTATGAAGCTTGTAACGGCATATTTACAAGCGGAGAACGGAGTCATTTAACGTCACAGCAAGCATAACAACAGCCGGTGTTTCTCGTGAGTGTTTTCCCCGGGAAACAAACACAATACACACAAACGCAAAAATACACAAACACACACACACACATACACACACACACTCGCGAGCTTCCCCCAGACCAGTAATCCAAACGGAAATATTTCCCCTCCGGATTATTTTGATCATTTGCTCCGCTAATAATCAATCAGATCGATGGATTCCAGAGAAGAGGAAACTTTGAAGGCCTTTTTCTCAAAATGATGACTCGGTGACAGTCATTATATAATGTGACATATTTTGCTTAATATTTGGAGTACAAAAACAATCTTGATATCATTAGAAAGCTAGGAATCTCCTCTTTCCAACAGTGTATACAACTCAAAATGTGTCTTCGGGTCAATGCGACTGATTTCGATAGAGCAGGTCACATATGCGCACTAAATGACTGCTATCGTGTCAGTAGCGGGACCTTAGCATATATATAGGATATATATACAATATATACAAATACACAATATTGGACACAGACTATAAAGGGCA